TAATTCTTAATTCCTTATAAGCACACATAAAATTCCTTAATTCAAGATTTCAGGTCACTTGCATATTTATTTTATACATACACATAGAAACAGAGAGAGAGAGAGAGAGAGAGAGAGAGAGAGAGAGAGAGAGAAGGTTTCTTTATAAGATTTGAGATTGTGTTATCTACTATACACATCATGATAAAAATCAACAAAATCAATTATTCATGTTCATAGTCTTTTACGTTTATCTAGTCAAAGATATCCCCTCTAGAAAGAAATGTAGGTTTCCCATATATTATTGAATTTTTTTTTGTTGTCGGTTGTGAATTTACACCATCAATCAAATTTATTTCATATTGCAGAAAAGCGGCTTATAAATGTTTGCATGCTTTACATTGTCTTGTAAAAAATTGGATCAATTTATATTTAGGATAATGTTAAGAAGGTAAAATTTTTTAAATTAAATTTACAAACTAAATGATGTGATTGTAGATGATTAATTTATTAACTAAATGTCGATTAACATATTTGTTTCTTATTGATGACATATTATTTAGTTTATAAATTTAATTTAAAATTTTAATCTATCTAACATTACTCTCATATTTAGTATATATTTAATCGATCAAAAGTTGATTAATAAGAAGGCAATACTCAATAAATCGATATTTATAAACAAGGGGCGCAGCCCCAAAAGTTGCACGCACTACAGGTATGCACCAAACCAATAACACCATCATAAACTTTAAGCTAACAAGTAATCATTTATCCAGATTTGTAATTAGTAAGCTAGTTCCAGTTCTTAGATTCGGTGAGGTAAATATATTAAACAATGATCAACATCATGCATGTGTCAACTAAACAATCAGCTTATATGGGCTAAAAAAGCACACGGTGCAGAAAAGCACACGTATACAACTTTGAAACTGGCTTTAATTATTTGGATAATGGCTCCTAGCCTCCTAGTCCATTTCCAATTCTTGAGTTAAAGTAAAAAGAATTTAATTCAAAAAATTTAGGTTTTAATCTAAAAATAATTTTTCTGCTTTCACTCTTTTGGATTAAAAAATTTTAACTTGAGATTATTAAAGAATAAATTTATGATATTTTTTTTAAGTAACTTTTGGAAAAAATAATAAATTATGTAGACTATTCTAATTTAATTTTATGAATATTTTAACTTTAAAATGTTTAAATTCCGATAAATATTGAAAAATCATTAAACTGAGATCATGAAACTTGTTGAATACTATGAAAGAATATGAAATCACATGAAATAATTTTTTTAATTACTTTAGCTGTTGAATTTAAATTTTGACCGTTAGATCTTCTTTTTACCATTGGATTGATCATATTAGATCTTAACGGTTGGACTCAATGAATTTATAAATATAAAACTTATTTTTGGCCCAGGGGTTGGAGCAAGTTAGGGGAGGTTTAGAACCTATAATTTGAGTTTTACTCTAAGGATTGAAGTAGGTCTTATGAAAGAGTTCCTCCTCAAATTACTTGGTGGACTATTTATAAAATTTTGTGTTTGTGATCAGAGTTGGTTATATTATAAATAGCCCTATAAAAATTATTTTCGCAAAAAATCAATGAAAATTAGGATCGACAAGTCAAGCAATTGTATTAAGTAGATAAGCAGTTTGAAATGCTTTTGTCCAATCCGTCTATCTATTTTTATATTGTTCAATGCCTAAAGATCTTTGCTTTAAAGTGATTTTTTTTGTAGAGATGATTCTTACATAGTAATTTATAATATGAATGATTCCGATCATAAACATGAAATCTTGTGAGTAAACCGTAAAATATTTTAAGGAAGAATTTCTACCTGATCATTAAGGAGCTAAGTCTTTCCCATTAGGGTATCTCGATAAGGATTAAGGAAAGTTAATTTGTAGGGTCAGGATGTTGATTACCGCATGGCCAATGGCTCTGGGAGTCTAAGGGTTCGTTTGGGATTGTGGTGCTTTAATAAAAAAATAAAATAAAAACAACTTATTAAAAAATTCAGAACATTAAATGTGTTTGGTAAAAAAAAAAAAAAAATAGAGTATTCTTTTAAAAAACTGCTGTCAATGAAAGTAGAAAAGCATAGTAAAGTAGAAGCAAGGTTTACCATCCTTCTAAAAGAAGTGTTTTATTTTTTTTCAAAATATAGTAATCAATGCTCATTTAATGAGCTTTTCAAATGGCAAGTATACCTCCACATGTTTTACAAAACTACAATTTTTACTCCTATATTAGTCTTTGATAATTATCATATCACATTAAATACTATATCATTTTTAGTCATTTAACATATCCAAAACAATTTATATAAAAGTTTACTAAATACTCAAACATTTTTTTTTTAATTAAAAACACTTTTACAAAAAGAAGTTTATGAAACACAGAACAATTTTATTTTACTGCTGTTTATTCTTACAACACAGCAAAAACATTTATTTATTTTTTTTTTTTTTTAAACACAACAATACAAAACTAGCCTATCCCTAATAATAGTGAACCCTCAATACTTCCGCTTAATGATCTTTTGTTTGATACTTACCAAAAGACAAAGTAAGGGTTTATGTGGCTCTCCAGTTTCATATCAAGTGAATCATGTGATTACATTAATCTGTCACATGCATGCCATGAGTGTCCAAAACATTATTAAATTTTCAATTTATGAGGTTTTCACTATACTAGCGATATGAGATATCTGGTGGCTTTTTGCACCAAGTAACAATTAAGTTAATTAGTAAAGAAATAACCAAATCCTATAAGCCTAAGTAATATATATATTACATTCTTTCTCATTTGCATATCCTAAGGTCTAGCTACATGAGGAACTCAATTAATCAATCGGAAAGTAAAAGCTAGCCTTAACTAGATAGGGAAACCTCTCTTTTATAGGGCAATTCAACTCTTTAAAGCGATAATTGCGCGGGTTATTAGAAAATTGACAATTATGCACAAGGATTGTTTGCCCTCCCATTTCCCGTGCCCTTCTGTTTGTGTGGTCACGGTTAAGCCACGTCAACATTTTATATTGTTTTTTTATAAAGATAATAAGATAAAAATGAATAGTAATATAAAATGTTGATGTGACTTAACCATGATCACACAAACAGCAAAGTACAGAAGGACACCAAAAATGAGAGGATATGCAATCTTTGTCTGACAATTATTGTCTTAGTAAACAGTAATCACCTGAGAGCATTTCAAGTTCGTAAATAATTTATCCCGACAATTCACATTAAAAAATAATAAAAAGGTTTAATATTATTTTATAGTAAAAATATCATATTTTTGTCTGAAACCATCAAGTCTCTCCCTCGATTCCTATGTCCAAGTCTCTCCCTCCTCCTCTTCCCTCGACTTCGCGCTCACCGGCGACGGGTCTTAGTACACGAGGCTGGTTGCAGCTCTCTCTCCGTCCGTTCCCCCCCTCTCCTTTTTCTTGTTCCTTTCTTTCCGTCCGTCCATTCCTTGGTCCGTCTCTGTCCCTCGACTCGCGTCGTCCTTCTTTCTCTCCGTCCGTTCCTCCACTTCATCTTCTAAGCCGAATTTCTCGACTACAGAGAAGGCGGACTCCTCCCTCGACCACCGCCTCTTGTCGTTGCACCCTCGCCTGCAAGTTTTTTTGTCATGGACGTCAGCATGATGTATAGAGGCGGGCAAGAATGGCCCGATTGCTGAGTTTGGGGGAGTTGGGCCCACCGAATACCATGAAGGATTTGGGTCGGCTGGAACAATTTTTTTTGTTGGAGGGTTCTCTATCCTTTTTATCTATCGATCTTTTCATATTTTTATATTTGAACGATTATGGGTTAAGTTACGTTAATATTTTATATTAATTTTTTATAGAAATAATAAGATAAAAAACAATGTTTAAGAGGAGGGGATGAAAGAGTGTAAGAATAGGAAGGTAGAGAATTCTCCTCTATTTTTGTTGGAGTAGGGGTATTAAATCACCCAATTGCAAAAGGGATTTGTTAGGGTGGACTTGCTCTTATATGCATATTTTAAAACGATAGATATAGTTTATTTTAGAGCCCGATGAATTTCTGAGGCTCTAAAAAAGAATCTCCTCCGAGAAGGACGGAGCCAGTTAGGGCTTCTATCCAATTATCCAATGTCTTTCATCTAGTGGCCTGATTGATTTCTAGATGCAGAAGATTTGATCTCGTAGATAACAATTACTGTTTATAGCTCATGCCCCTAGATAAATTTCTAAAAAACACGAGTAAACAAAAGAAATGAGAACCAATTATGAACAATATACTTATTATGTATCCAAATAAAGAAAAATGAAATGATCACACCTATGCACGTAGAAACATTGCATATTAAAAATGGAAAAACTTATATAGATGAGCTAATTAATTAGTTCGTTGCCTTCTTTTGAAAACAGAAAAAATTATATAAATATATCATATAGTATATACGGATGGATATTAAACATTGATACATATATACTACACAACCTTATCACTTCCGTTGATATTTTTGCAATACTGAAAATAGTATAACAGATCTGACACCTGTTTGTCATATGAATTGGGAGGGGGTGGTTGAAAAATATAGTACCTCATTTATCATTCTTAGGGGTGGAAAAAAACATACTGAAAATTTCGAACCGAACCGAAAATCTCTAGCTGTTTTCAAAAAGTTCGATACGGGAATAGAGATCCCATATGTTTTCTTCGATAATCCCAAACCAAAACATAATTTTTTATATTTAATTTTAAATTAGGTCTAAGACTTATGTGGCCAGTTGGATATGTTTGAGATATAATCTCAACCGTCCATTCATTACCTTAACTCTTTCGACCTCGTTTGATTGAGTCATCCCACTCCCACGAGAAATTTTTAGTTGTGACAAAAACATTAGTGGCATACTACGTGTTTTAATAGGAGTTGTGAAAAATTTTATTTTTTAAGTTATTAACTTTTTAGCACACATATCTTACCATTTATATAATGACACATAATGTACCATTCGTGTACCGGTCATATTGAAAAATCTCTCCACTCCTACAATCTCACTCTGTCTCTCTCTCGATCGACTCATCTTCTCCGTCCACCTAAAATCGAGGTTTGCTTCACAACAGCCTCCAATGGCTTCCTTCAATGTTCCCTTTCCCAAGGCGCGCTTAGCCCCCGTTACCCGCCTTGGCTCCTCCGCCCAGCCGCAGCAGCACCTACTCTCCTTCCACAATTGCCTCAGTCGCTGCCCCATTCCATCTCTGTAGATTTCTGGCCTTCAGGTTTGATTAATTCTGTGTACTATTTGCTTTTTTAAAATTTTGTTTGTATAAATTTCATTGCTTTTTGTGTTTTCATGCTTTAATTTTGTATTTTTCTCAAATGGGTATTGTTTGTGTATCTTTATTTTTTTAAGCATCTTTAGTTTTCCAAAGCGTAACCAAATAGCAAGCACTAACATTTTAATATTTTTTGAAGAATATCGAAATTCCGGTTTAAATTTTTGGAATCCCGTCCCAAAAGGAGTTGGTTCGGAATTTGGTTTGTGCTTTTCAGTTCGGGATCCTGACCCGAATTACCCCTAATTGCACTCTGTTGTTGTTTCAAACTATATTACACGCTGTGCTGTTTGTATTTTTCTCATTTTGTTCAGTAGGCAAGCGAACAGTATTTATTTACTCTTGTATTTTAATGTCTGGCACAATTTGTGTCTTTATCCATGGGACACATGTTTCTGGTAGCTGGGGCCTATGACACCTCCCTCAGTGGAGCGGAGCGCCCTGTCTCCATCGTCCCTTGAATCTTGAATGAAGTAGGATTTTCTTCTTTTTTTTTTTTTTTTTTTTTTTTTTCTTTTTTCTCCTCATATTTGAATGATTATGGTTAAACTACGTCAACATCTTATATTAATTTTTTATGGCAAGAAAAAGATAAAATAAAAGAATGTGCGAGTAGAGGATGGAAGGGGATGAAAAGATGAGGGAAGAGAATCCTAGTCCCCCTCGAATGCATACATGTCCATCATACATGGTTGCATGAACATACATCTCCGTGCATGCATGAGTATTTTACCCATGTATGCATGAACATTTTACATTACCATGCATGCTTCCATGCATAACAGCATAAGCATACGTGGATTAAAAATGGGGTATAAAAATATCAAAGGTCATCATCATTGTTTGCTTGCAACCTCTCATATCTTTAATCGTACTTCCAATGACTATCCAACAAGTCGAAACCATTTACTCACTTTATTCCCGTGCCTTATATTGGAATTAACTTTGTCACAGATACATGCATGATGCATCTTCTGTTGGCAATGGTAAAACCCTACTATTCAACTCATTATTAATGTAAAATATTGATATAGTACTAATTATTAGAACACAATTTGCAGACTCCCGGTGCGAACTTGAACAACCTGCGAACAAGGAAGAGCTTTTGAGGAGCACCATTGTGCTGTCGGTCCAAGATATATTCCCCGACACCCAAGTTAGTGTTCGATTGGTATTGTTGAATGAACTCAGGGAAAGAGTTATAAAGTTAATTTGTATCTCAGCTCTAGGGTTTAGAATGACCGATGCTTATATCCATTTTGAGGTGTATCTTGAGAATCCATGAGTGGATATTACTCTCAAGCGGTGTAGTTCTCGAATAAGATATGAGGATCACGTTCATACTATTCAGACCTGGATTCTCTTAGTTAAGCTCGAGCTAGGGCTTGGAACGTTCTTTATAGGTTATTGGCAGAGTCATGCTTATTTAAGATGATTAGGGAATGTCCATGGTGTTGTAGACATATTGAGACCCGGACTTGAATGTTCTGCTAGATCTGAAGATGATGGTGATATCGTCTCCAAGCTCTGAGAGGACACGTGAGAGGTCCATGCCATTGCATGATCCGACAGCCTCCAACCATGGGAATGTGCCAATAAATCCTAAACTCTTGAAATTCTCATTCATCTTCTAAATTTAACTTGCACATATTTCTACATCGTGTAGCTCTTGACTCGTGTGACAATATCTAACATGCTTATTCCTTTTCTTGGTTGTAGGTAGCAACAAGATTCTCAAGGTGTGCCAATTAAATTATGCTACAAAGGACGTGAATGGGGGTAGTTGATCTACTCACCAAATATATATACTATAATATATAGGAAATTGTTATTGACACTTCAAAAATCTCATTCTACATTCCAAACTTTCTATATTTGAAAAGAAAAATACACTTGTGAGGAGTGTAGAATGAGATTTTTGAAGTGTTAATAACACTTCCCAATATATATAGTGGTGCATAAATATAACTTGAGGGCCTTTAGATATCGGTGTATTTCCACCACTGTATGAATGCATGACATTTAAGTGATATCAAAAAAAAAAAAAAAAAAAAAAAAAAAACAACTAAAACAAGAAGAAGAAGAAGAAGAAGAGGTATAATGGAGAAAAAAAAGTTGTGAATATCACTTTGAACATGCATGCATTATTTGGTACGTCAAAGAAAATAGAGTTCCCTATATATAAAGATATGTTAACATGTGGAGTGCTGCATGACCAATCTAACTCGGTCTTCTATAAAAAAAAAAAAACTAAAAGTTATATAGAACTTTGATCTACTTAGCACCTAACATCTTTTAAAACTTTCATCTAACTAGTAGAAGATGAAACTAGCTAACTATATAAGAAGCTGAAAGTTATAATTAATAATTTTTTCTTGGTATAAATAGCTAGAAGTTACAAATTTTTGAAGTCTAGGGGACCAGTATACCGTCGATGTGGCTAGACTTAAATAAACTTGTATGCAAATGTGGTCCATACATATTGTTAAGGGGGAGGGTGATGTAAATTGAGTAGTGCCTGGCCTTCACCTCAAGGTCTAAAGGTCCACACAGCTAACAGAAGTTAATTCACGTCCAAGGGGACTTGTCTCATAACTACTATAAGTTGTTTTTTAACTAAGTGATGTTAAAGGAGAGAAAATATGAACTTAAAATATCAGGTGGGAAGTAAATATTGTTAACTTAGAGTCAAGTTATTATAGACTGAGTTAGTCAAAATAAATTAGTATCAAACTCGTCATTTACAAAAATCGTACTTAAGACACCTGTAGTACCAAAAATCAGTGTTCTTTAACTATTTGAAATATTATGAGGTTCAAAATTGTACTTAGGTAATCGTGGTCCATATGTCACTTACATATATGTACTTATTAACTTATGGCCAAGGGTGTCCCAAAGGTATTGACAAGAAAATTGAAATTAATTGTTTATGTTGGCCCCCTTTGCAAACCAAAAAGTAAAAACAGAAAATAAAATTAGAATGAACAAATTAACTTAGCGCTTAATTAGTGACCAACTTAAGTACAGTCGTATGTTCACGCGATGCCTTTCAACGTGTGTTGCGTTGAGTTTTGCTTTTGCCTGCGTATGTAGCAGAATCCTTGTTGCATATGGCTCCAAGAATAATCGAATATGGGTGGTGGAGGTGGTGTGCACTACTTTTTTAATAGCAATGGTTAACATTTTCCTTATTCTTTTAGACTCTTATCACACCGTCCAAAGAGTTACAATGAAAAGGATTTGTAAGACTCATTGTTAATTAAAATGATATCCTCTTATTTCTATTTTTCATATGAGCAGGAAATTGAAATCAGAATCTTGAGAGAGAAAATTAATGTTCTTAATCAACTGAGCAACTAGTGTCGTGCAAATTTTTTATTGAAGTCTCACCACACTCAACATATTCAATAAAAAACATAACATATAACACTATATGCCACGCTTTGGTGACACACCCCGACCCGGAATGTCCATTAGGACTCCGAATCAAGCTGTGCTGGCCTACACTTGGAAGGTGATGAAGCCATAAAGTGTGATAATGTGTAAACTATGACTAAATTTAAACCTAGAAGTGACGGTGAGCGGGTATGGACCCATACACACGTGATACAAAGTATAAGTAGAGTATAGTATGGTAAAATAACGATTATACCATCATAGGAAGCCACTTGTATTGGGAAGTGCCACGAATCCTGGTCGATACGGAAACTTTACTACTACAACCTTGAGGGGTGCAAAATAGAAAATGTGAGTGGGCGAAAACAAAGCTTTTCAAAAACCATTCACTTATCAAAAGTAATAACCCCTCGCCGTAAAACCTGTATAATTTCCCAGAAAATCATTCTACGTATAAGGATGAAATCAATTGTATACTATCAGTAAATCCAGAAGTATACCATGATACAACATCTCATCAACAATATAAATAATCAAGTGCTTAATAATTCATGCTAGCACGTAAGTTGGAGTCACCTATAGTGACCTGTATGACTCACCCATATCTCATCAATCAATGCTAGCACGTAAGTCGGAGTCACCTATAGTGACCTGTACGACTCACCCATATCTCATTAATCAATGCTAGCACGTAAGTCAGAGTCACCTATAGTGACCTGTATGATTCACAAGCAACCTGTACGACAATATTGGAGTTGCCTATCATTGCAACCTGTACGACAGCGTCGGAGTTGCTTAAAACATAAATATAGTCATGCCATAACTCAATCATTTCAAACAAAATGTAATCATAACCATGCATCTCACATTTCATAACATATACTCACCTAAACTTACCTGTGCGTCCTGTGTTCACCTTCGTACTTCAAAACATTCACAATAATTATGCGCAACAATATACCTATGAAAATGCCATGATGCAATCCAAAACTTAACCATATCGTAGTGCTTTCAAATACACACACACATATGCATACAATGTGGCGTAAAATGCACAATCTATAACGCCCTACTCCCGAACTATTTATTTTCGGGAATAATTATCAGCGACAAGCCCAACTAAACACTAGCTTAACTAACTATCAATACTTACGATTCCTTACTTCAATTTCTCAATTCCTTACACATTGTTTTATGACCACATTTAACCAACAAATCATAAAGTTAAAACTCACATTTTCACCAATTCCTTCATATTGCTTAATTTCCCAAACAAGGCTTTTGTCTCAAATATTGTATGGTTGCATCTAAAGTCTCGTTAAACTACATGCGTACCCTAAATAGGGATCAAACCATTTGTAGTTCACATATTCAGAATTCAAACCATAGCAATTAGGTCTCAAAAGCATAATTAGAATAACAGGTTAGCATAAAAACACAATGTCGGCTTCTTGGCCGTGCGCCGCTGCGGGTGGAGATCGGCCGCCCCTGCTCGCCGGAAAACTCAACTATTTCTAAAAATTCTCAAAAATTACAAAAATGAAGATCTCAAAGAGTAGAGCAAACCTTATACTTGTGACTAAGTCCAATTTGCCTCGAACCCGCCGGAAACCCTTGAAATGGGTGTTCTTGATTCGTCATCAATTCGACTCCGACACTCCAACCAAGGATTGGACATTGTTCTAGGCCTCAAGGGAAGTCTATTGGTGGTGTTAATTGCATGAAAACATTTCAAGTTTGGTGGATTGGAGTCACGGTGCCGTCGCCCCTTACGGTTTGGATTCTATGAAATCAAAGCCAAACATCTTCAATTTTAGGTGTAATAGGTAGAGGGAACAATGCGAATGTTTTCCCAGTGGTTAGGTGACATGGTTCACCGGAAGAATGGCGGAAAATGGCCGGAAATTTGTCGGAACAGGTCGGGTTCGAAGGTTTGCACGGACCAACCCGTGTCTCCCCCCTTCATCTTCTCTCATTTCCCCTCCTTTCTTTCGTTTCTGATTGGGCCATCCTACCCTCTCTCCTCTCCCTATTTGTCCAACTCCCTCTTTTATTTTTTCTTCTCCTGTTCCCTCTTATTCTTCCCACATTTTCTTTCTTTTCTGTTTTCCTCCTTTTTCCCAGCCACACCCACCAATGGCATATAAATCCTTTAGTAATAATAAAAATATAGTGTAAGATAATTAAAATAGTGATTCATTCCAAATACTTTTGGGTTCGTAACTCAATAAAACTTTAACTGTAACTTCAGATTCACTTCTACTTGTGCCTACGCGTCCGTAAGACCAAGCTCTATCCGAATATGTCAAGAAACATGACAAAATATACGAGAATCACATACGTCCTCGAAAATCACGCTTTGCCCATAGGGAAATTCAGTAATTTCAAATATTAAAATTATAAAAACCATAATTTTTAGGGACGGGCTGTCAAATTTGGTATTTAGGATTAGGCTGGATTGAAGAATGTCTATTTTTAAATTTTATTTAAGTTAAAGGTAGAAGATGAATTAGTCATAAACGAAATTTAACCTAATCTATTATAACCAATCCATTTAATCCCTTCTACTTGAAAAAATAATTAAAAAACTATTACTTCAAAATTTAGGGCTTGAACATAATTAGTGATTACAGACATATATGTTACAAACTTTGTTGTTGACAAACAATGAAATGTTCACAATAATGACTAATGGGGTAAACAATAATTTTTTATTTTAGTAACTTTTTGCTAGCATGCATAATCTCTAAATGAGGACCCAAAAAATGAACGCTCGGATCATAGAATTACTTTGTGAAGTATACCCAAACAAATAATTAGTGTTGTATTAATTTGTTAATCAGGTGAGCACTTATATATAGTAACAAGTAGTGTAACGAATTCACGCATGTTATGAATTTAACACACAATGCCATTTTTTTTTTTGTTAGGAAACATAATGATAAAGTTAAGGTTCAAATTTAGGGTTTAGATATTAATGGTAAATGCACGCATAGTTTAAATACAATGCACTATATCAGCATGTCAATCACATACTATCATAAGTAATTTATTTCACTTAACAATATCATACTAACTTTCCACATAATACCAAAATGTTCTTTATTTTTATAAGTAATATATAAAATTCTTTAGAGATAGGCCCTTACAACTCTTATTTACTAGACAAAAACGCATCTAGTTTAAAGCATCCAAATAAATTTCTAATTTCACATAAACATAAGCAAATAAGTTACCTATCATTATTATATAGGCCAAACTGCCGATCCCCCTTCTAAACTTTCACTTAGGTTTCGATTTCCCCCTAAAAATTCTCAATAGGAAAATCAAGGACTTAAACTAATTTTTTGGGCCAATTTCTCCCTTACTGCTAGTTTTCCATATATTCCATCCAAATTAATGTTAACTCTTATCAAATGCACACCATGTGACTCTGCTTTGAAGACAAAAGTGTCACTTCGCTAGACCTTCAGGCACAAAAGCTATAGAATCACACAAATTTGCATAGGTTGACATTTTAGAAATCTAGGGTTTTCAATTATTTTAAAGAACAAAGCGACCAAACTACCTTCACATGTTGTGCACATCCTTCCATTTAACAAAAATTTGGATGGAATTAATGAAAAACTAACAGCAGGGGGAAATTGGCTAAAAAAATTAGTTTAAGTCCTTAATTTTCCAATTGAAAAGTTTAGCAGGGAAATCGAAAGTCAAATGAAAATTCAGGAAGGAAACCGGCAGTTTACTCTTACTATATATTTACAACTTATATCACAACTATCTTACTATGTCAACAAATTTATTGCTCACCCTA